TTCCGTGCAGCAACATACAGATGTGAGTAATGGACTATCTCACCCTGCATCTTCCCTGTAGCAACATACAGATGTGAGTAATGGACTATCTCACCGTGCATCTTCCCTGTAGCAACATACAGATGTGAGTCATGGACTGTCTCCCCGTGCATCTTCCGTGCAGCAACATACAGATGTGAGTTGTGGACTATCTACCCGTGCATAGTTCCTGTAGCAACATACAGATGTGGGTCATGGACTGTCTCCCCGTGCATCTTCCGTGCAGCAACATACAGATGTGAGTAATGGACTATCTCACCCTGCATCTTCCCTGTAGCAACATACAGATGTGAGTCATGGACTATCTCCCCGTGCATCTTCCCTGTAGCAACATACAGATGTGAATCGTGGACTATCTAATCGTGCATCTTCCCTGTAGCAACATACAGATGTGAGTCGTGGACTATCTCATCGTGCATCTTCCCTGTGGCAACATACAGATGTGAGTCATGGACTGTCTCACAGTGCATCTTCCCTGTAGCAACATACAGATGTGAGTAATGGACTATCTCCCCGTGTATCTTCCCTGTAGCAACTACAGCTGTGAGTCGTGCACTATCTCACTGTGCATCTTCCCTGTAGCAACATACAGATGTGAGTCGTGGACTATCTACCCGTGCATCTTCCCTGTAGCAACATACAGATGTGAGTAATGGACTATCTCCCCGTGCATCTTCCCTATAGCAACTACAGCTGTGAGTCGTGGACTATCTATCCGTGCATCTTCCCTGTAGCAACATACAGATGTGAGTAATGGACTGTCTCCTAGTGCATCTTCCCTGTAGTAACATACAGATTGTGAGTAATAGACTATCTCCTCCTGCATCTTCCCTGTAGCAACATACAGATGTGAGTCGTGGACTATCTCCCCGTGCATCTTCCCTGTAGCAACATACAGATGTGAGTCGTGGACTATCTCCCCGTGCATCTTCCCTGTAGCAACATACAGATGTGAGTCGTGGACTATCTCCCTGTGCACCTTCCCTGTAGCAACATACAGATGTGAGATGTGAGTCATGGACTGTCTCCCCGTGCATCTTCCCTGCAGCAACATACAGATGTGAGTAATGGACTATCTCCTCGCTCATCTTTCCGGTAGCAACATACAGATGTGAGTCATGGACTATCTCCCCGTGCATCTTTCCTGTAGCAACATACAGATGTGAATCGTGGACTATCTCATCGTGCATCTTCCCTGTAGCAACATACAGATGTGAGTCGTGGACTATCTCATCGTGCATCTTCCCTGTAGCAACATACAGATGTGAGTCATGGACTGTCTCACCGTGCATCTTCCCTGTAGCAACATACAGATGTGAGTAATGGACTATCTCCCCGTGCATCTTCCCTGTCGCAACTACAGCTGTGAGTCGTGCACTATCTCACCGTGCATCTTCCCTGTAGCAACATACAGATGTGAATCGTGGACTATTTCATCGTGCATCTTCCCTGTAGCAACATACAGATGTGAGTCGTGGACTATCTCATCGTGCATCTTCCCTGTAGCAACATACAGATGTGAGTCATGGACTGTCTCCCCGTGCATCTTCCCTGTAGCAACATACAGATTGTGATTAATAGACTATCTCCTCGTGCATCTTCCCTGTAGCAACATACAGATGTGAGTAATGGACTGTCTCCTAGTGCATCTTCCCTGTAGCAACATACAGATTGTGAGTAATAGACTATCTCCTCGTGCATCTTCCCTGTAGCAACATACAGATGTGAGTCGTGGACTATCTCCCGTGCATCTTCCCTGTAGCAACATACAGATGTGAGTCATGGACTATCTCCCCGTGCATCTTCCCTGCAGCAACATACAGATGTGAGTTGTGGACTATCTACCCGTGCATCTTTCATGTAGCAACATACAGATGTGAGTTGTGGACTATCTACCCGTGCATCGTTCCTGTAGCAACATACAGATGTGAGTAATGGACTATCTCCCCGTGCATCCTCCCTGTAGCAACATACAGATGTGAGTAATGGACTATCTCACCGTGCATCTTCCCTGTAGCAACATACAGATGTGAGTCATGGACTGTCTCCCCGTGCATCTTCCGTGCAGCAACATACAGATGTGAGTAATGGACTATCTCCCCGTGCATCTTCTCTGTAGCAACTACAGCTGTGAGTCGTGCACTATCTCACCGTGCATCTTCCCTGTAGCAACATACAGATGTGAGTCGTGGACTATCTACCCGTGCATCTTCCCTGTAGCAACATACAGATGTGAGTAATGGACTATCTCCCCGTGCATCTTCCCTATAGCAACTACAGCTGTGAGTCGTGGACTATCTCCCCGTGCATCTTCCCTGTAGCAACATACAGATGTGAGTAATGGACTGTCTCCTAGTGCATCTTCCCTGTAGCAACATACAGATTGTGAGTAATAGACTATCTCCTCCTGCATCTTCCCTGTAGCAACATACAGATGTGAGTCGTGGACTATCTCCCCGTGCATCTTCCCTGCAGCAACATACAGATGTGAGTCGTGGACTATCTCCCCGTGCATCTTCCCTGTAGCAACATACAGATGTGAGTCGTGGACTATCTCCCTGTGCACCTTTCCTGTAGCAACATACAGATGTGAGATGAGAGTCATGGACTGTCTCCCCGTGCATCTTCCCTGCAGCAACATACAGATGTGAGTAATGGACTATCTCCTCGCTCATCTTTCCGGTAGCAACATACAGATGTGAGTCATGGACTATCTCCCCGTGCATCTTCCCTGTAGCAACATACAGATGTGAATCGTGGACTATCTCATCGTGCATCTTCCCTGTAGCAACATACAGATGTGAGTCGTGGACTATCTCATCGTGCATCTTCCCTGTAGCAACATACAGATGTGAGTCATGGACTGTCTCACCGTGCATCTTCCCTGTAGCAACATACAGATGTGAGTAATGGACTATCTCCCCGTGCATCTTCCCTGTAGCAACTACAGCTGTGAGTCGTGCACTATCTCACCGTGCATCTTCCCTGTAGCAACATACAGATGTGAGTCGTGGACTATCTCCCCGTGCATCTTCCCTGCAGCAACATACAGATGTGAGTCGTGGACTATCTCCCCGTGCATCTTCCCTGTAGCAACATACAGATGTGAGATGTGAGTCATGGACTGTCTCCCCTTGCATCTTCCCTGCAGCAACATACAGATGTGAGTAATGAACTATCTCCTCGCTCATCTTTCCGGTAGCAACATACAGATGTGTGTCATGAACTATCTCCCCGTGCATCTTCCCTGTAGCAACATACAGATGTGAGTAATGGACTGTCTCCTAGTGCATCTTCCCTGTAGCAACATACAGATTGTGATTAATAGACTATCTCCTCGTGCATCTTCCCTGTAGCAACATACAGATGTGAGTAATGGACTGTCTCCTAGTGCATCTTCCCTGTAGCAACATACAGATTGTGAGTAATAGACTATTTCCTCGTGCATCTTCCCTGTAGCAACATACAGATGTGAGTCGTGGACTATCTCCCCGTGCATCTTCTCTGTAGCAACATACAGATGTGAGTCATGGACTATCTCCCCGTGCATCTTCCCTGCAGCAACATACAGATGTGAGTTGTGGACTATCTACCCGTGCATCTTTCATGTAGCAACATACAGATGTGAGTTGTGGACTATCTACCCGTGCATCGTTCCTGTAGCAACATACAGATGTGAGTTGTGGACTATCTACCCGTGCATAGTTCCTGTAGCAACATACAGATGTGGGTCATGGACTGTCTCCCCGTGCATCTTCCGTGCAGCAACATACAGATGTGAGTAATGGACTATCTCACCCTGCATCTTCCCTGTAGCAACATACAGATGTGAGTAATGGACTATCTCACCGTGCATCTTCCCTGTAGCAACATACAGATGTGAGTCATGGACTGTCTCCCCGTGCATCTTCCGTGCAGCAACATACAGATGTGAGTTGTGGACTATCTACCCGTGCATAGTTCCTGTAGCAACATACAGATGTGGGTCATGGACTGTCTCCCCGTGCATCTTCCGTGCAGCAACATACAGATGTGAGTAATGGACTATCTCACCCTGCATCTTCCCTGTAGCAACATACAGATGTGAGTAATGGACTATCTCACCGTGCATCTTCCCTGTAGCAACATACAGATGTGAGTCATGGACTGTCTCCCCGTGCATCTTCCGTGCAGCAACATACAGATGTGAGTAATGGACTATCTCACCGTGCATCTTCCCTGTAGCAACATACAAATGTGAGTCGTGGACTATCTCCCCGTGCATCTTCCCTGTAGCAACATACAGATGTGAGTCGTGGACTGTCTCCCCGTGCATCTTCCCTGTAGCAACATACAGATGTGAGTAATGGACTATCTCACCGTGCATCTTCCCTGTAGCAACTTACAGATGTGAGTCGTGGACTATCTCCCCGTGCATCTTCCCTGTAGCAACATACTTATGTGAGTCGTGGACTATCTCCAAGCCCTTAAGAAAGGGAATCATGGCGTTTGAACTGAAAAGCTACAGAAAGATTCTAAGCATACTATGGACAAAAGAAGAGAAGAAAAACTGACTTTTTAAAAGATCTGAACATTAAGTAAGATTGGCTAATAACAGCATCTTATCTTAGAAGTTGAAACATTTTGGTCGTATCAAGCGCTATAACGGATTGTTAATAAATAATAGCAGAAGGCATGGTACCAGGAATAGGAGGGGCAGGGGCCGACCAGCACAAAGATGGACAAAGGATATGAGTGACCCCTTGAATGTGAAAGTGCATGAGCCGATGTGTAAAGAAATCTCATTTCTTATCAAATGTCTAAAGAAATCTCATTTTTTATCAGATGTGTAAATCAATCTCATTTCTTATAAAAAAATCTGAAAAAAAAAATCTTATTTCTTATCAAATATCTGAAGAAATCTCATTTTTTTAATCATATGTGCAAATAAGTCTCATTTATAATAAAAATCTGAAAAAATCTCATTTCCTATCAAATGTCTGAAGAAATCTCATTTTTTTTAATCAGATGTGTAAATAAGTCTCATTTATAATAAAAAATCTGAAACAATCTCATTTCTTATCAAATGTCTGAAGAAATCTCATTTTTCATCAGATGTGTAAATAAATCTAATTTCTTTTTAAAACAATCTGAAAAAAAATCTCATTTATTATTAAAGGATTGAGGAAATCTCATTATCAGATGTGTAAAAAAAAAAAATATAATTTCTCATTAAATGTGTAAAGCAATCTCACTTCTTATCAAATAGTGTAAAGAAATCTAATGTCTTATCAAATGTCACAATACAGGAGCAGACGTGTAGCCAAAATAACCAAGCACATAAAACGAGGAATATCCTTTAATATAGCGCAGGATTTTTCAGGATAAACAAACCTAAGCAACAACTGTCAGTCAGGGATTATAATAATAAACAAAAAAGTTAAAAGAGCAGGGATAAGACAGAAGGTTCAAAACAGCTACACAAATAGGATTCAGTGGCTTTCGATGCATGCAACATCAAAAGAATGAAAAAGCATTTCAGGCACTATTCTTATTGCCTGTGGTTGTCAAGCAGTATTTATCATGACGGAAAAACCGCTGGAACCTGAGAGGAGGAGGTAGAGGAGGATGAGGTGAGGGAGGGGGGGGGGTGTTTACACAGAGACCCCCCCCCCCCCCCCCCTAATCTGATTCCCATTACCCTCCCTCAACCCCGTCCCCAAGTCTTTTCATATGCACACGTTCACTTATCCAATATATATATGCAGAAAATGTAACGACAAATGTCAAAAATGACCAAACCTGTGACAGTTATAACACGCTCATAATCGGTGGCAACCATATTATTGACTTCTGCTAGGCAGTTGACACAGTCCTCCGTTCAAACAATGTAAAGGAAATAGAACATGTAATCATGTCTGTCCAAAACAAATTAAAGATAAAAACCTATTTTTAAAGAAACGAATAAAATATCCACTGACAAAACTGGCTGTCACCCAAAACTAACAATAAACGTTTAAGGAAACTGAAAATGTAACAAATTTGGAATATCTAGGCTCTATCATAAATATCAATAGAGACTATTCAACAAAAGTCAAAAGTAGGATGGCCAAAGCAATACATAGATTAGACAGCATAAATAGGCTATGACTTGTGAGCTGAAGTACTATAGAAAGGTTCTCTGAACACCAAGCACAAAGAAAAAATAGGCGGGAATTATTAATGTAAAAGGCAAAGGAAAGCAGACAACCTACTTCAATTTTTAACAAATATATGTACCAATAACACACGCTTGTGAGGCGTGATAGCAAATATATGTACCAATAACACACGCTTGTGAGGGGTGATAACAAATATATGTACCAATAACACACGCTTGTGAGGCGTGATAACAAATATATGTACCAATAACACACGCTTGTGAGGGGTGATAACAAATATATGTACCAATAACACACGCTTGTGAGGCGTGATAACAAAATATATGTACCAATAACACACGCTTGTGAGGGGTGATAACAAATATATGTACCAATAACACACGCTTGTGAGGGGTGATAACAAATATATGTACCAATAACACACGCTTGTGAGGCGTGATAACAAATATATGTACCAATAACACACGCTTGTGAGGGGTGATAACAAATATATGTACCAATAACACACGCTTGTGAGGCGTGATAACAAATATATGTACCAATAACACACGCTTGTGAGGCGTGATAACAAATATATGTACCAATAACACACGCTTGTGAGGCGTGATAACAAATATATGTACCAATAACACACGCTTGTGAGGCGTGATAACAAATATATGTACCAATAACACACGCTTGTGAGGCGTGATAACAAATATATGTACCAATAACACACGCTTGTGAGGGGTGATAACAAATATATGTACCAATAACACACGCTTGTGAGGCGTGATAACAAATATATGTACCAATAACACACGCTTGTGAGGCGTGATAACAAATATATGTACCAATAACACACGCTTGTGAGGGGTGATAACAAATATATGTACCAATAACACACGCTTGTGAGGCGTGATAACAAATATATGTACCAATAACACACGCTTGTGAGGCGTGATAACAAATATATGTACCAATAACACACGCTTGTGAGGCGTGATAACAAATATATGTACCAATAACACACGCCTGTGAGGCGTGATAACAAATATATGTACCAATAACACACGCTTGTGAGGCGTGATAACAAATAACAATAACACACGCTAGGCAAAATAGATATGTACCAATAACACACGCTTGTGAGGCGTGATAACAAATATATGTACCAATAACACACGCCTGTGAGGCGTGATAACAAATATATGTACCAATAACACACGCTTGTGAGGCGTGATAACAAATATATGTACCAATAACACACGCCTGTGAGGCGTGATAACAAATATATGTACCAATAACACACGCTTGTGAGGGGTGATAACAAATATATGTACCAATAACACACGCTTGTGAGGCGTGATAACAAATATATGTACCAATAACACACGCTTGTGAGGCGTGATAACAAATATATGTACCAATAACACACGCCTGTGAGGCGTGATAACAAATATATGTACCAATAACACACGCTTGTGAGGCGTGATAACAAATATATGTACCAATAACACACGCTGTGAGGCGTGATAACAAATATATGTACCAATAACACACGCTTGTGAGGCGTGATAACAAATATATGTACCAATAACACACGCTTGTGAGGCGTGATAACAAATATATATATACCAATAACACACGCTTGTGAGGCGTGATAACAAATATATGTACCAATAACACACGCCTGTGAGGCGTGATAACAAATATATGTACCAATAACACACGCTTGTGAGGGGTGATAACAAATATATGTACCAATAACACACGCCTGTGAGGCGTGATAACAAATATATGTACCAATAACACACGCCTGTGAGGGGTGATAACAAATATATTTACCAATAACACACGCCTGTGAGTGGTGATAACAAATATATGTACCAATAACACACGCCTGTGAGGGGTGATAACAAATATATGTACCAATAACACACGCCTGTGAGGCGTGATAACAAATATATGTACCAATAACACACGCCTGTGAGGCGTGATAACAAATATATGTACCAATAACACACGCTTGTGAGGCGTGATAACAAATATATGTATTAATAACACACGCTTGTGAGGCGTGATAACAAATATATGTACCAATAACACACGCTTGTGAGGCGTGATAACAAATATATGTACCAATAACACACGCTTGTGAGGCGTGATAACAAATATATGTACCAATAACACACGCTTGTGAGGCGTGATAACAAATTAAATCATCCAAAAAAAAAAAAAACAAACAAACAACAACAACTTTAGGAGATTTTAACGCTAAATTAGCAGCAATGAAAATGAATAATGCCGTTGATGAATAAACTTTATGAATATAAAAAGACGGAAGAGAAACGCCATTAAACTGGCAATGATAAATGATATGCTAATTACAAACACCTGGTTTCAATAAGATAGCAGACGATAGCGCCGTCTGAAACTCCTAGCAACGAAAACATTCAGTTCTGGACTACATTGTTGATTTATAGATGATTTAAAACACCTGGATTCGGTGACAGGAGTTGTCTGTGATCACATGCCTCGAAGTGGACATTTAACTGTAACAGTGAAACAAGAAGATGATGATGAAGAAGAAGAAGAAGAAGAAGAAGCAGAAAAAGAAGAAGAAGAAGAAAAAGAAGAACAACAACAACAACAACAAAAACAGGAGGAAAGTTTAAGTATTTTGAAAATAGAATAATGAAATATAAGAATGACACACAATCATTGTGAAATCAGACATAAAACAATAAATACAATGCAAAATATAAGTGAGCAATATGAAACGTTGACAATCAAAATGTTTAATATCGAGCAAACAAGTTAATGTATACACACACACAAATATATATATATATATACACATACATACATATATATATATATATATATAATATATATATATATATATATATATATAGATACGATATATATATATATATAGATATATTATACACACACACACACACATATATATATATGTATATATATATAGATATATGTATATATATATATATGTGTATATATATATATATATATATATATATATATATATATTTACACCCACACACACACACACACACACATATATATATATATAAAGAAATAGATGACATGAAAGGAATGACTGAAGAAATCTTAAAGCTCATGAACAAAATATAATAAACATAAAATGTAACCGGAGATTATGGTTAGTTAAATAAAAGCTAAAGAGATAAATGTCTTAAGAATAAGGAAGTGGCCACAAGGAATTTAAAAGCTAAATTAAATGATATCAAAGACATTTACAAAATATGCAAACACAAAAAAGTGATATGACAGGCCAAAAAAAAAATAAAAAAAAAAGATTAAACGCAGGATGTTTGCAATCAAAGATAGGAAATGTATTAATGGAAGGGGATGCTTTGATTAAGAGCTTGTAAAACGCATACACATTTTATAATTTTAGGAAATAGAAAAATAAACAGAAAAAACAACGTGAAATGCTACCTGTGTTAAATGAAATCAAACACACAGATGGGAAATATAGCAGACATGATGAAATCAACGTAGAGAAATTAGTAGTACTGGCTGAATTTTTAAAATCAAACTTAAACTTTTTGCAAACCAGCGTGAAGATTTTGCAAGTCAAATGAAATCTTTTGTAAATCAAACCAAACCTTTTGCCAATCACAGTGAATCAGAGACAAATTAAGTGCATCAGGTAAATGACAATATGTTATGTTATGTTATGTTATATACAGTTATGTGAAAGGAAAGATAGATGGTACAGTTATGTGAAAGGAAAGAAAGATGGTACAGTTATGTGGAAGAAAAGAAAGATGGTACAGTTATGTAAAAGAAAAGAAACATGGTACAGTTTGTGCGAAAGAAAAGAAAGATGGTACAGTTATGTAGAAGAAAAGAAAGATGGTACAGTTATGTGGAAGAAAAGAAAGATGGTACAGTTACGTGGAAGAAAAGAAAGACGGTACAGTTTTGTGGAAGAAAAGACGGTACAGTTTTGTGGAAGAAAAGACAGTAGAAGTTTGTGGAAGAAAAGATGGCACAGTTTTGTGGAAGGAAAGATGGTACAGTTTTGTGGAAGGAAAGACGTTACAGTTTTGTGGAAGAAAAGGCGGTACAGTTTTGTGGAAGAAAAGACGGTACTGTTTTGTGGATGGAAAGATGGTACAGTTTTGTGGAAAGAAAGACGGTACAGTTTTGTGGAGGAAAAGACGGTACAGTTTTGTGGAAAGAAAAATATTACAGTTTTGTGGAAGAAAAGACGGTACAGTTTTGTGGAAGAAAATACGGTACAGTTTTGTGGAGGGAAAGATGCTACAGTTTTGTGGAAAAAAAAAAGACGTTAAAGTTTTGTGGAAGAAAAGATGCTTCAGTTTTGTGGAAGAAAAGACGGCACAGTTTTTTTGAAGAAAAGACAGTACAGGTATGTGGAAAGAAAGACAGTACAGGTTTGTGGAAGAAAAGATGGTAAAGTTTTGTTTAAGGAAAGACGGCACACCTTTGTAAAAGGAGAGACGGTACAGCCTTGTGGAAAGAAAGACGTTACAGGTCTGTGGAAGAAAATACGTTACCGTTTTGTGGGATAAAAGAGTACAGTTTTGTGGAAGCAAAGAAAGCCGGTACAGTTTTGTAAAAGGAAAGACGGTACAACCTTGTGGAAAGGAAGACGGTACAGGTTTGTTGAAGAAAAGACGGTACAGTTTTGAGGAAAGGAAAAGATACAGCCTTGGGAAAAGAAAGACGGTACATTTATTGGAATCTCTAGAGTTATTCCCGGGCTCGCACTTAGATTTTATGATTCTTTGTCACAGCATGAAGACCTCTCTGTTCTAGAACGTTCGACCTGGCTTTATCACTGATGCTTGTCTTGCTATCTCTGTGGCTGTGCTAAATATAGTACCCCGTTAAACTGAGGAGTGAGAAAGCTGTTTCCCCCTCTCCGGGAACGCTAGATTAATCAACAGCAAAGTGTGTTTTGACAATACACCTGCAGGGAAGCAACGTTGCTCTGCACCAGCAAGATACAGTGCTCACTTTCGGTCTTTGCAGATGTCGAGGGAAGGCAACAAGAATAGGAGGAAAACGAATTATGTCTATTAATTGACACCTACAGAAGGAGCTACGGAGTTAGTGCATCCGTGTAAAGATCTGAAATAAGAGCTTCCTTGGGATGGCGGTTGCATCGAAGGACTGAGCACGCATGGGATTTATAGTGTGCTGTGACGCGTATCCTAATAACATCATTTAATCTAACGTATAGAGCGGCTTTTGGGGATAGAGCTAAACACATTTTAGAGAGTCAAGTGGTGAAGAAGAAACGCTGGCTTTGGATAGGACATTCCCCGCGTGGGTTTTAGAGCCACATTTTCGGGGGAAAAATAGACCCACTATCTGATTAACAAGCATGTCGTAAAAGTCGAACATTTAGGGGTGTTTCATTTGAAGTAAGAAAGCATCTGCTTAAGAGACACACACAAAAAAACAGTCTGCATATATATTGGCCTAAGCTATATTTGTAAAACGGATGTGCACACACAAGTCAAGTTCTGGAACAAAGCAAAGTCCTAAAGAGGACGAACAAGCATAATTTTACGCCAGAGTTCACAACCGGCGAACAGGAAGAAGAAAGATATGACACACGCTGGGAAAACCTGAGAAAAATTTAACTAGAAGTGCTGGAACTCACAGGGACATAGAAATAAAGGCATACCAAAAGATACACTTAGAAGGGAACTGTAGATTAAGCAGAATGGAAGCACAAATGTGAGCTGCCTGCGACAGCATAGGAGGAGTAGTTGAGGGCCTATGCTCCACTGGAGATCAAGGGCAGAGGAAGAAGATTAGGGTTGCTGTGGTTCAGAGGCTAGGCTAGTAAATACGTCTGGTGATGTCATGAGGTTTATAAACAAACAATCGATCTCTTGGTTTTCGCACTGTCAACGAGATGGGTACCTGGTCACATGGTAATCACAGAGACAGCAGTTGGTATACTGTAGCAGACCTTTATTTGTGGTGACGCCACACTAGAGAAACATGACGTATACACAGTAAATAACAGATTTAGAAATGATACTTCAGTACTTGTAAGATCATCGTCTAGGTAGAATGTGTCGAGATCATGTTAGTGATGAAAGCAACCACTGTTCGACATCAGTTCGTAGCAGATGCTGGATTTCTTTTGGCCAGTGGCTGTAGAACTGGGTAGTTCAGTGTGTCCCATGAATGAATGAATGCATGAATGAATGAATGAATGAACGAATGAATGATTGAAAAACTAACATCAATGCAGTCGTGACATTCCCATTAGTGTCCCGTCTCCTTTTCCAGTAGCAACGAAGAGTCAACATGCTAATACTATCAGTTGAAACCTGCTCAAAACATTTGATGATCAACGGACTGCGGCTCAGTGATATCAGTTATTTAAATACAAGAAAAAAAAATATTGATTAAACAATCCCATCAAATTTTGAATGCAATACTTTGTTTGGGGGAAAGGAGGAGGGGGAGATAATGTGTTCTT